TGGGAGGCCAAGGTGAGAGGATTGCCTGAGCCCACAGGTTTGAGACCAACCTGGGCAACACGGTGAGACCTCAGCTTTACAGCAAATCAAAAAATTAGCTGGGCGTGGTGGCACACGCCTGTAGTCCAGTTGCTTGGAAGGCTGAGGCAGAAGGATCTCCTGAGCCCAGCAGGTCAAAGCTGCGGTCGCCATGAGTGTGCCACTGCACTCCAGCCTGGGCGACAGAGTGAGACTCCGACTCAAAAAAAGAAAAAGCCCATGAAAAGCCCTACAGATGCACACACGACCTCCTTCTGCTTCTTGATGATGTGGGACAGCTCCGTGTAGGGAATCCGGGGGTTCAGCTCACACTCCATCAGCGTGGCGCCCTCGTAGTCCTTGATGTAGCCCAGGTAGCGGCTCTTAGGTACCTTGATGTCCTTGGAGAAGCCCTGCAGGAGGGGCGTGTGGCCTGGCCCCTCAGGAAATCTTCCCCAACTCTGTGATTCCTCCCCAGGACCCCTCCCCAGGAGTGTGCATCACCTCCCCCTGCCTTTCTGTGGCATTATGAGGGCTGACAGTCCCTGGGAAGGTTCCAGGTGAGCCTCCCCCTCCCGACTCTTCCCAGGATCCCCCCACCCTCCCCCCGTTCTTCCAGCCTGCCCTTCTGGCCCACAGGCCCCCCAGGGACAGTGGCAGGAGGGGGGGAGGGAGGTGGGTATGAGGGACTTTCACAGGCGTCCCGTGGAAGAGGGGACACAAGAGGCTGGACAGAAAGACCCCTGGCTCCGGGCAAAGGAGTGGCGTGGGTGTGGCCCAGGGTCACCTGCTTTTTGAAGTAGCCAATGGCGTACTCGTCGGCATAGGTGAGGAAGTAAAGGATGCTGTGTTTGATGTGGTATTCCTTCAGGTGGTTCATCAAGTGGGTCCCGTAGCCCTGCGGGGGGTGGGGAAGGGGACGGGCGGGGCTGGAGAGGTCTCGGAGGGCCCAGAGGAGAGTGGAGGGAGCAGAATAGAAAGGAGGTGGGGAAGCTGGGTGCGGTGGCTCAAGCCTGTCATCCCAGCCCTTTGGAAGGCAGAGGGGAGAGGACTGCCTAAGTCCAGGGGTTTGACACCAGCCTGGGCAACTTGGTGAGACTCCATCTCTACAATAAATTAAAAAAATTAGTCAGGCGTGGTGGCACATGCCTGTAGTTCCAGCTACTCGGAAGGCGAAGCAGAAGGATCACCTGAGCCCAGCAGGTCGAGGCTGAGGCAGTGGTCTTGAGTGTGCCACTGCACTCCAGCCTGGGTGACAGAGTGAGACTCCAACTCAAAAAAAAAAAAAACAGAGAAAACAGAAAGGAGGTAGGGAGGGCGAGGGAACCAGGGCAGGGAGGAGGAAGGAGCCGGCACAGAAGGGGCATCTGAAGGCTGCTGGTTCCCAAGTGCTCTGAGCTGGGTGCGGCGCCTGCCACTTGACAGACTGATTCTCAAGTTAACCCAAGTGAATATTATTAGCTCAATTTTACAGAAGAGAAAACTGAAACTCAGCGACACCATGGCAGGGCAGGACCAAACCCCAAGCGGGTCACGGCCTCCCAGGCCTGGGCCTCCGCGCTGGGGGGAGGCAGGAAGGGAGTCCCAGAAGCCCGCTGGCTGTGGCATCTGGTTCCTGAAGAGGCGCTGTGGCCCCACGTCGGGCCCAAGCAGTCCACTGGCCTGGGGTAAGTGATGCAGGAGAACGTGGGACCCCATGAGTGGGTCTACAATGACAAAGGGCGGACGCCAGCGCCCTCGGCACAGCATGACTGAAAGAATGCCTCATTCCCAGCGTGTCAATGTTCTCGTGATGAAGAAAACACTGACATGCGGCTGCTTCTTGGGTTCACTCGGCAACAGGTGTTCTCCTACTCCCGTGACCAAAACACAACTGCCACCTTATGGGCACACGAGGAACTGCCGGTCACTGAAAAGGGCTGGAGCCTTGGCATCACACACATCCCAGGGCACCAGGCCTGGTCCCAACTGGGAAGCAAATGGGGCTGGAGCCGGGGCAGGCGCGGCACTCACCTTGACCTGCTCATTTGAGGTGACGGCACAGAAGACAATCTCCGTGAAGCCCTGGGTGGGAAACATGCGGAAGCAAATCCCACCGATGACACGCCCGTCCTTGATCAAGGCCAGCGTCTTGTGTTTCCTGAGAGAGGGGGGCACATCACAACCCTGCCCGTCACCCTCCCGCCCCCGGTGCTCCCTGGGACACAGCCCTGGAGGCCTGAGCTGCAGTCAGGGCTGGGAATTGAGAAGGCTCAAAGGTTGGGCCTCAAAAGTGGGGAGAGGGGACCCCTAATTTTGAGAGAGGCCAAGGAGGAGAGGCCCCCGGGTATGGCGCCCTGGGGTGGGTTCTCCTGGGGACGCACGGGTCAAAGACGAGGCGGGCGATGTACTCCTTGGGCATGCGCGGCAGCTGGTGTGAGAAGACATTCTGGAGCCCCACCAGCCAGAGCAGCACGCGCCGGTTGGCCTTGGGTGTCAGCGAGTTGCCGATGACATGGAACTCGATGATGCCACGGCGCTCCTCCAGGCGGGCTGTCTCGTCCCGGGCTGCGTTGGCTGACAGCAGGCTTGTCTAAGCACAGGGGAGGGCAGTGAGCTGGCATCTCGGGAGGGTGAGGGTCCCTCCCCAGCCAGAGGGCAGGCCAGCCGCCCACCTCGGGTCCCAGCATGGCAGCAGGGTCGGTGATGGTCAGCATGACCTCGTTGACCAGCTCCATAGGGATGTCACCCATCACACGGAGCCGCTTGGCATCCTCCAGGGTCAGGTTATCTGGGAGCTTCCTCTTCTCGCCTGTCAGAAAGTCAGGCAAGTTCACCCAGGAGTGGCCAGAAAGGTCAGGAGAGGGAAGAATGAGGGTCAGAGGTCAGGAGTCAAGCACCTACCAGGCATGGGCTCGGCCCCTGTGGAATCCAGACTCAGGGAGGTGTTGCTGCCCCCGCCCATGGCGGGGCTGAAGATGGGGGCGCTGGGAACCACCGCAGCACTGACTGTGGCTGAGAAGCAGAGAAAAATCAAGGACGAGGGCTCAGAGCTGATGGCAGGTCCCTCACCAGCATCTTGATCCCCCTCGCTGCTGAGCCCACTCGCATTTCCCCACTGCGGCCATTCCCAGCCCCTTCTGCCCAGGGGGTTTGGCTCAGCTGGGAAGGTCCCACAGAGGCTGCCGTGGCACGTACCCGGCCGGGGCACCAGCTGCGTCCCCTCTGAGGGCGGCATGGTGAAGCCTGACTCCCAGATCGGAGAGTTCGCCCCATAGATCTCTTCCTCCAACATGGACAGGAACCTGGAGGGAGGGCACGGTGTGTCTCCAATGCTGTCCTTCTACCAGAGTGCAGCCCAGGCCAGCCACCAGAGGGACTGGAGGCTGCTCAGAGACAGCCCTGCTCTTAGGGAACTGGGAGCCTGAAAGAGGAGGCAGCCTCTGCCCTTTGGGAAGCCCTACTCTGAAGGGGGAGGCACAACCCCTGCCTTCTGGGAGCCTCTGACAGAAGGTAAGAAGACAGGGCACACCCAGAACAGAAATCAAAGAGGCCCAGCTGTGCCATGCTATGTGCACGGGTGGCAGGTCTGAGCTGATGCTATCCTGGGCTGTGAGGCCAGGCAGGGTACGTCGTCACCCCGAGTCCCCTCATTATCAAAACGGGCTCCGACGCCAGCCCATCTCGCCACCTCTTGTTCCCGCCTGGTGGCAGGAGGAGCAGTAGAGGCCAGGATCAGTCACTAAAGACCAGGAACAGGGGAGTTTTGACCCAGATTTAAAATGGGAAAACATGTGGCAGACCAGAAGAAAACTGTACAGAAAAGACTAGAACAGGCGTGGAAATTGGTTTGCCTCACGCATAAGCACTGGCTCTCGAAGTGCTGCAGCGGCAAGGACTCTGAGGCTGCAGCCAGGCCCCCACGGGAAACAATTAGTAATGTCTACTGGGACGTGGGGGGATGGGAGGGTAGCGTTAGCTCGGGCCATGTACCTGCCATCCCCAGACTAGTACGTGCAAAGGCAAATACTAGCAAGTTGCTTCTGGGCCATGGGCAAGTCTGCCAGGTAGACGCCCAGATCCCAGAAGGCCCATGGAGGGAGAGGAGGGACCAATCCAGGAAGCCTTCCTGGAAAAAAGGGGACAACAGCGAGGACGTGAACTCGGGGCCACACCCCGACAGGCCAGAATGAGCCTTACTTGGGGAAGTGAGTGAGGATGAGGGTCCTCTTCTCGGGCACCAGCTTGTCCTTCTCCACACGGAACTTTTCCAGCAGCTGCCGGCGGGTCACAGTGAAAATGGACCGCAGGAGGCTTCGCCCAAACACGTGAGTGGTTTCGTAGCGGGGGAGGCTATCGCAGCTCTGGGGCACGTGGCAGTAGCAGAGCCACCTGGGGTGAGAGGGTGGTAGCGTGGCAAGTGAGGCTGGAGACCCCTGAGCCCGGGCTGGGCCTCCAAGCCTCCTCGCACACCACCCCGGCTGGGCCTACCTGGTGTAATTGACCTTGTAGGTGGCCACGTCTTCGGCCTGGGACCTCTGCCGAAATTGGGCGGGCGTCTCGAGTTTCCAGTAGTTAAGGCACAGCAGGAACATCTTGGAGAGCTCGAACATGGTCTGCCGTTCCCGCGGGGCCAGGTGGCTAAACTTGTACTGCACAAAGTTCAGGACTCCCTGGGGAGGGGACAGAACCAGGGATGGGGTGTGAGCAGTCAGCAAGGCGTCTCATCCCCAGAGGAAGATGCTTCCTGAGGGCAGGGTTCTCCTCTCTCCAGGGGCTGAAAAGAGAAACCATGCCCC